ACATTACAAATTTAACATTTCTTGTTTAATGTGTTTCATAAGACTGATCTATTTAATTATCTAGATGACATTGCAAACGAAATTTTAAATACATTTTTTTACTGTGAAAATTCCTAAGGGACGTGAAGGGGTTTCTAGAGCAGTCGAATATAATCTTTTTTTACTTAAAACATAGAGGGCGCCAAAGATATCTCAAACAACCTTTGAATGATGAATACATCACTGAATTTTAAAGGACTGGCAGCAGCTCGTTATTTTGTTGAGCCTTGTTGGCTCTGATTTATTTTCTCTTCTATCCGGATTGGCACTCAAATTAAAAATACCGATGGTTTCTTTCTTGATTGATTAAGGCACAAAAGTGGACTGTATATGTTTATGGTATAAAAATTATGCCAACGATTTTATTATTGAGACGTAACTAATTAACTAAAACAAAAACAGAAGATCGTTATCCGGGTTGGGGACGTATAAAAGTGCTTCTTTCAAATAAATGTGGTGAGGTAATCTGCACTAAAGAAAACACTAATTCCAACTAGGGAGTAAATACCTCTCCAACTGAACGTTTTACTACACCAAGCTTAGTTTTCACTGATACTACGCGCACAACTCCAGGATGAGCAACAATGATTCTTTAGGCCAATGAAGAGAGGGAGCGTTGTCCTCCATTAGAAGCACCAGATAACCAACAATTATGAGAGACCTCTTCAATGATAAAATGGCTTCGTGTTAAAGCTTCCCGGTCAATAAACTGCTAAAGGATATAATGGACGGGAATTCGAAACAACTTCGATATTCTTTAAAAATTTATATTATTCAAATGTTAAAAAACTCATATTCGGTTTCAGCGATCACAAAAACTTGTACATGTTTCTTTACCGATTTTCTGATCATTATTCCTGGTTTGACGTTGAAATGACCTCTAGGTGACCTTGCAGAGTCATGCGAGGCCCATATTTGAATACAGCGAGCCCAAAAACCCTAGTATAACTCATCAAGTCTGGTAATCCTGTTTACATGAAATGTTGGTTATTCAGACTTACTGAGTCATTCCTCTTAAAAGACCCACTTTGAGGCCCAATGTCTCGGAAACTGCATAACCGGTCTTTGGGCCCATTGAGACTTTTGATCAGAACGCTAAAAACTATAACTGGGGTCCTTTATATTATTATAGTCGATAATTAAAGTAAGTTTAAAGATCAATAATTATCGGACTGTTGAAAGACCAATAATTATTAACGATAGGCATTTGAAAATACGCAAATTGTTTTTTGTAAATCGCAAGACATGGATTTAAAAAAAATCATCAAAATCGGACCTCTAATAGCTGAGAGATTAAAAATTTTTAAGCGCGTCGCGGTTTTGAACTCGCCGATTCAATTTCTAGCAAGGCGAAGCGGCCGCACTCTCTGTTTCCCCCACCACCACCACCCGTACGATTTTATTGAATTTTTCGCTTGCATAAATAACTTTAAACGCGTTTTAAAGTAGGTTGCCAATGAAGAAAAGTATTGCAAACTTAGACCTGGTAAGTACTCGGAATACCAAAGGTATTTTTCGAAAAATTAGCCCGGATGTCCCAGTGCATTTAGTGTAAATGACGGTTAACTTTGATCGGCTATAACTACGTAACTAATTGACTAATCGATCTGTTTTTTTAAAGAAGCGTCTTTCCAATAACTTTTAAAACTTGCTTTTAATTTGATTTGATTGAATATTCACTAAGTTATTCTAATTGTTTATAAGTACCTACAAAAATTCTACCAATGTTTAAACAAGCGCCAGAGTTCTTCTAATTGACGGATTCGAATTTTTCAAAAAGCGTTTGAAAGCTTGAGAGCCTTTCTATATGTGATTATGTTGTCTGTGGATTTATGAATTATCTGTATATGTGTATATAAATAAATATAAAATTTTGAAGAATAGGGATAATCACTGCATTAATACAAGGCAAAATGATAAATATCATATAAATTTTCATAAATATAAAATTTAATTGAATTCACCGACATGTCTTGGTCTTAAGATTTTTAATCATCTAAGTGATCACATTAAGCATGCTAAAAGTTTAAAAGTTTTTAAAAATGTGCTAAAAGGTTTTTTACTCGCAAGTTGTTATTATACTTTAGACGAATTTTTTATGGTTAGTTTCTAAGGCACTTATTTTGACAATTCCTATACAAATTTGTATTTTGTCTTAGAGGAAATAAAAATTATTATTATTATTAAATTTTCAAGTATCTAAGGGCCTTGGTTTTTGATGTGCAAAATTTTGAAAATTGCAAAACAAATCTGGATTGCAAAATTATGCAAAATCTATCGAACCGATTTTGATGAAATTTGGTGTGATGATTCTACATAACATGAACTTTTCTTGAGCCAAGTATGAAGGTCATACACGGTCGATTGCCGCACGGTTTAAGGCGTCAGTACTTAAATCGATGTGTCGATCTGCCCGGGTTTCGAATCCCGCGGCCGGTAAACCGTAGATTTGCTTGTACGGAGGATTGGCACCCTCTGTGCAGGTATGGTAGGGTGGAAGAATGTTGGCTTGGGTCAATGTGAGAGATTGACACCGGTTGGCATTTGACCACCCCCCTAATTAATGAGGTTTTCCAGGTTTCCCTCATTCCTGCACTGAATGGTGGTTAGGACCTACCAACATAAGTCGTTCCTGGGCGCAAATGCGGCCTGCGTAATAATAATATGCCGCCTCCTCTCCCGCACAGGTCTCCGACTTCTGGGCTAATTCTCGAGTTAGAATGAGGAGTAGAGATATTATTATTATATTTATTATATACCCAACTTAATGACCCCGAAAAAATTTCCTAAAATGTAATGTTTTTAACCCCATTTTTGGCGAGTTTTTCGATTTTTACAATCATAATCATGATTCATTCGATTTGTAACTAGTCATATTTTGTAAAATTTAATTACAAACAATTTCTTCCTCTTCCATTTTCGCCTAAAATCAACTCTTGAAAAGATACATAATTAAATAGGAAGAAAAATATTACATTATTCGAATTTTTTAAACATATTGTGCCGACAAAAGTTAAGCCCACGTTTTTTTTTATGCGCATAGAAAAATTTTCATTTCTAGTAATACTTGAAAGCCAAAAAGCCAAAAATCTCCGTAGATATACGATTCACCCAAACCAAAACAGATACCACCTAGTCTATTAAGTATTCGCTTTAAGTGATGTTTAACATTTTTTACAGTGGCTTCCCACAAACCACCGAAATTCTGCAATTTTACGAATTTTTAACTTTTCATTTGCTACCTCCTGTCCTTGCCGCCGGCGCCACCATATTGTAATAAATTGAGAAAAAAGAGATTTTTTGGGATATCTCATTACTCGTTGCTTTTACAGCAAAAATAGTTATGTAACAAATTAAAGACCAGAAAATTTGCTACAAAATAGATTTTTTGCATAAAACCGACCCGTTTTGGATAGTACACTAACAAAGTTCACCATTTAACGTGCAATGAAAGGTAATATCCATTTCTATACCACCAGAGTATATGGAGCGGTTTTTTTTGTCTGGTTTCCCCAGACATTAATTGATAAATGAAAATTACAATAACTTCTTTCGCTTTAATACCGTTGAAGGATCAGCTTTATCGATGTTTTTGATACTTGAAGGCAGAGTCGTGTGGGATCAATTCTTCTGCCACAGTAGCTTCTCTACTTTCTCTATCGATTTCAGTACACAGCGGTTCTAAGATCGTATCAGTGTCTTCATCGTCATCACTATCTTCCAATGCTTGAGGCATGTTATCACATCTATTTTCACAGTTTAAGCAAATTATAGAACAGTTGAGCCCTGCTTTCCTACATCCACGTGCTCCCCTCCATCCTTTCTTGCATTTACAAGAAACTAGTTTAAGAAGAACTTCTGGAGCAGAGTAATCAGAGGGACATACCATTTTTGTCTTCCATCCCCATTGATCTGCGGGTTTTTCGTTACTAATCCATTGCTGTACCTGATGATACGTTCGAAACGAATGTTGTCTTGCTGCTTCTGTAGGAGGCAATGAAGCAATGTTAACTTTATTCCTGTATACTAATTTTATGAAGCATTGGTGCCTACAGGTGTTCAGAGGTATAAATTCCTGTTTATTATAGCCGTAAAGTCTGAGAAGAAAGTATTTTCCAGCTTTAGCTACATTTACTTTGTCAGCATTTTTTCCTTAAATACTTTTATAACTTCATGATTAGGGTTTTTTTTGACACACATTAAGAAATTTGAGCTTGCCTTGATTGAAAAGAGACGACGTTCAACTATTGCATCCGAGGTAGGCTTAACACATTAAATGCGTATTATTGTACACGTTACGTACCTACTTGGTAAACAAGATATATACAAAAATTGGTTTCAGGTCGCTTTTTTCTTTGAATAGCGGCGCCAGCGGTAAAGATACAAGGTAGCAAAATAAAATGTCAAAAAAAGCAGTTCAAAATAATAATAATAATAATCAAATATCAAAACTTCCGCAAATTTTTCCAGGTAAGTTCACATGGTTACTGGACTATAATTTATTTATATCTAATAACACGTTGTTGGCACCTGTAAGGTTCGTCGCATTGTCTGAAAAATTAAAGACTACTATGTCATATCCTTTTTGTCTTTCATCGGCGGTCTTCCCTGACTTGGAATTGAACGTTCTCTTTCGTCAGAGCGGTTTGTTTCCGACTCGATCCGGGTTCGCTTTGTCTCATCGACATCTTCCTCTCGTCAATGTTTTTCATATTTTTGGGTTGATATTTTGAAAACCTGGCGTCATGAAGCTATTCGAAATCAGCATGTCAAAAATATTTGGAAAAATATAGTCCGTTTTTGATTTAATATATTGTCACTCAGTGTTATTTTCAATATAACGGAAATCCATATATTTTGATTTAAAAGGAAAATTTAAAAAAAAGCGTAAAAAATATATTCTATTATATTTATTACATTATAACTCATTATATTAACTCATATTGTCTTTGATAATACACCTAAGTTTGTAAAAGTAAAGCCACCCCTGCCAACGTCCATTTGGCAGGTTTATCTTTAGTTTTCAAATTGAATGTCCAAATGTAAGTCGGACCTCGAGTTCTAGTCTTGTATACTGGACACTCGTACATATTTCGCAAGTCCTGTTTGTCTTGTGTAATAGCCTTGATGTTTATGACAGGTACAGACGGAAATAACTCTTTCAGCCTCGAGTCCATAATAATTCCAGCTTGGACATCCCATCTAGCTCCCTCCATGTAGAAACCGTGGACGTAAGCTCCATCTCTAGGTGCCGATCTGTAATATTAAATCGCAGAATTTGAACGAGGAAAAGTAATGTTTGCAGTGGATTAGGTACTCACGTGAATTCTTCCTTCTGTTTTTTGGTGACGTCGCATTGTAAACACATTTTATCCAATGGCAGTTCATTTCTTCTAGCTGTACTTTGCATTATGGCGGTTAACAACGACTGAGGATTAAAGAATCCACCTAGCCAAACAGAGGCAGGTAGCTGAAAATTACGATTTTAGTCATTTGTTATTGACACACTGTTTTAAAAAATATATTACCACAAAATCGGTAGACCAAGTCTCTAGTTCTCGAATTCGCAGTAGTAAGTCCACAAACCAAGATGTCAATCCGAGTAAAGAAGGATATGCCCTTTGAGCCCAAACTGGTGGAACTTGGTCCAAAAATAAAGCATTTTCTAGGTCTTCCATATCCGATGTAATAGTCAATTCACCTTTAATTCCCAATTCGAGTTCTTTGAGGGAACGTTTTATTTCGCTAGTAAGATAATTCATCCTTTCACATTCTTGAAAAGCAACGATTACGTAGGGAGTACGCTCTTCAACTTTACCCATAATTTCTACCATATTGAAATCCTCTGGAAGTTTCTCTACCATTTCATCTATCATCTGCTTTACCTAATAAAAAATACAAATAGATCGGAAATAATCGAATACTCAAACATACTTTGTCTTCACGTGTAATTGTTGCACCACCTGATGACCCTACATCTCTGGGTTGCATTTCAAATACTGTTTTAAATAGGTTATCAGCTGTTGTACTTAAAAATCCAATTTCAGCGTTGGGATGTAGACCGTATAAAATTGGAGACTCTGGCGGCAGCATTTCGTCGATGTATGTATGATAACCGATATAATCCGTATTTGGTGGTGCTGTAAATCCAGGGGCTAACGTAAGTTCACCATCTACCTAAAAATGCAGTTAAAAATATGTTACAAATTTTGTTTATATACAATTTAATGTTATGAAGCATATTCCTGATTACTAAGATTGCAAAGAGTAGGGTAGTTTTACCGTTTGGGAGTCTCCCCCCTCCACTTTCTGGCTTGGGATGACCTTGAGGCCGAAGGCCGATGACGTTGGTGTATGGATGAC